CACTTAGCCAATGGAACCGAACCCGTCTATAATTTGTGGTTTCCTAGGAGATTACACGTGTAAGTAATTAACATACTCTTCAGAATAACCATAATGATCTTTGGGAAAAACAATGATTCTATCGAGATATGATACAATATGTTCATACAAAGGCTGAGTGGTGATGAGGTAGCCATGTTTAAATCGAATCATCAACACTGACTGTGACTAAGTCGGAAGCTGTCAATGAACATTAATATCGGAGTTTGTAGTTGACACGTGCCATAGATAGTAATACATCAAAATTATCATGCATAGCCAATAAGCATTTTCGTAGCTTATATATTAATTAAGTGGGAGAGATGGGAATTATATTTAGATGATAATCACTATAAATGGAATCTGAAACCACGAAATTGCGTATTCTCTGCGGGCGCTATGAGGTTAATAGTTCTACACGTATATATATATATATATATATATAGAAAGCACAAAGACATTCACTTTTACATGGATACCCACTTCCGCCCCAACCTGGGGTTGAACTCTCGACCTACGGAATCTGTCTCCTAGCAGTCTAGAAACAGCGCGCTAGACCGCTTGGGCATCTAGGCAAGTCAAAAAACTTGCTTTCGATGCCGATGGAATTCTCGCGGCGTTGGCCTACACTACACGGTTATTGAGAATGGAAGTGAGATATAGTTATTTGAAAATTAGAAGGATCGTTACCGATACACATTGTAATGAATTAATTTTATTTATAAAACACATTTTACAACAACTCTAAAAGCTGAACACACGATTCGTAAAAGGAATTTGTCCGCCATATTCGATTGGTGTCTCGCTATATCTGAGGACCCCTATATAAAGCCGCTGACTTAGTCACTGTTCAGTGTAATCAATCATCACCGGTGTAGACGGACGTATGCTATACAGCAAAAAATAACTGTGTACTTTTAATGCAGGAGAGTAAGATACCAAAGAAACTTACAACAGTTGCACAGGTCAGTGCTGTATACAAACAAACACAAATACACGTAACTGCAATGAAATATTAACAAAGGTAATGAAAGATAATCGGTCGCCATTCCACGCCGATACCCGTCACAATAAAGCAGTTAGGTGTAACGAATGCGAAGAAGATACCCCGGTGCTGATATCTTAGATAGTAATATCGAAAATGGCGTATGCCTATTTACGAGTCGTGTTCAGCTTTAAACTAACATAACTGCCCTAAGTGAAGAAATATTAATATAGAAGGCAAAAGAAATTCACTTTTACATGGATACCCACTTCCGCCCCAACCCGGGGTTGAACTCGCGACCTATGGAGTCTGTCTCCTAGCAGTACAGGAACAGCGTGCTATAGACCGCTCGGCCATCTAGGCAAGTTAAAAAACTTGCTTTCGATGCCGATGGAATTCTCGCGGCGCTGTCATACACTACATGGTCATTGATATATATATATATATATATATATATATATATATATATATATATATATATATATATATATATATATATATATATATATATATATATATATATATATATATATCATGTCCCCTGGGTAAGGGGTTCTGGTGTTAGGGAGGGGTTTTAATGATTACATGGTAAAAAAGCAATTTTGACAATTTTCTCCTTTTCTCCTGGGTATTAAGCCTATTAAGTAACTAAACTAAATGTACAGTTATGATGAGCAAGTGTGCCCCTTCCGAAATTATGAATTTCATGGCCTCTGGTTTAAAACATGAACCCAATTTAATTGTGGCAAAGTTGTTATATGATACTCAGGTGACATATAAGGCCCGTGGGCCTCCTGTTTAGAATAAGGATTTCTTTGTTGTTTTTTTTTAACTGAGATTTCTTTGAAACCTACAAGCGCGGATCGCGTTAAACATAGAATTAACTTTAAACAACCGAAGCTGCACCCAAAATTTGAAGCAGGTGATATTTTATTAAGTACTCAGCATGTTTTATAACAGATTGTTAAAAATAAGTTTTTAGAATACAATGGTCTGTGATCACAATGGTTTTGACATTCTGAGATGGCAAATTAAGAATACATTGTTACTGTCCTCAAACACGTAACTCTGGGTCTCTCTGGTAGTTTATCGGATTTTTTTCGGATGAGGGAGATAATGACCCCATAGGCAGAAGGCATTTTAGTATTAAAAATACTGTAATATACACAATCAGATAATAAATATTCACAACAAGCAACATATTTGATAATATCAATTCAACTACCATTTATGAAATCTTGTTTATGTTTTAAATGAAATTATTTTTGTTTATGACGCCGGTCTTCTTTTATGCGTCATAAGAATCTCCTGACAGTATTGTCATCACGACGTACGGGTATTAAGCTTGTAAAATTCTGATTTTCTCCATTGTTTTCATTTTGTTCCAAGATTAAAATCATATCAAACTTGAACTCCTGTAAATAACTTTGAAGTAGATTCACTATTTTTATTGCGTAATATTAAGCAGTATCTGATTCGAACACAGTGATAATTTGATTGGTGGAGACAAAATCGAATACTTCTAAGACTGTGCTTATGGCAAAATGGAGGACTTCTCCTATTTCAATCAGTTATATTTGATAGCTGCTGTAATTTGATTTCTAGTAATATTTAATTGAGGCCTAATTTGAATTAGTTATTTTGAAATTACATATCTGAACTGGAAAATGTTCCTTTGTTTTTACCCATTTGTCATTTTTTACCTATTTGCTAGAGTTTTTTTCGCTAATGATTTTCTTCTTTCTTTTTTTGTTAGACAAGTAGAATCCCCCCTTGCTTTTCTCCTTAAATGTTACCATTTCTCCGTGACACGAACACGAACGCTGGAATTAAACTGTCTCTTCAGATATTTTGAATTTACCTCCACCCAGGAAATTCAACAATTTATATCATAGTTGGAACTCAGTATAAAACTACGTTCTCCAAGTATTAAAAAAAATAATAGGGTTTGCCCTACTGAATCTTTCAATCCTTTCAATTGGTAATCATCATTTAGACACCTACATACTTATGATGTCATGCAGTCATGAAATCCTTCGATATTAGAGTGCATAAATTCAGTTCTATCTCCTACAAATGATGAGGAAATAGAGCTTTACTCTCTCATAAGACAAATATCTTAATAACTCCTGTATATTAATGAAGCTTTGAAACTAGTCTACTAGACGATTCTATAGGAATACTCATAAAGTATACTTGGTTTCGTGTTTGATATTTCGATGAACGAAAATCTATATTTATTATGCATTGAAACAGTCTGCCTTGTACACGTAAATCAGGAAAAAAAATTCCCAGCCACTTCTGTAGACTGATTTTTTTTTCTCTCTTTTTCAAACGTAGAAAACAGTTCACTTGCTGCACTCTAAGTAGAATTAAAGAGATTACGGAAATCTCCCGCCATTTTTTCTCCTTTGGGAGGAACGGCATTTTAATAGACAGTGATTAGTCAAGACAAAACTGTAGATAAAATACTTGTCCTTGATACAATAGCCTACAAGTCGCCAGGAGCGCCTACTGATGGGACAGAAGGTTGAGTGAGAGTGGAATCCTTCAAATGAATCAAACGAGAAGCAAACATATATGCAGATCGAAAGGCCATGGCGCTATGTAGTACTACGATTTTTTTTATTTTATTTTTTTTTGGGGGGGGGGGGGTTCACATTGATGATGACACGCCGAGCACGCTTCTCTAAAGCATCAAATGTCAAAGATTTTTATGGATACCTGATGTGGCGGTGCTCTATTTAAAACAAATGAAAACGCAAGGTTAGAATTTGAATGGTCATTTATTACTAAATAAATAACAAAGAAACCAATTGCCAAATATGTCAACACATATTATAATTGACATTACCAAACACAATTAAACACATAAGGTAAACAAAACATGTTGCAAAATATCATAAAATCATGTTTACAATATTGTGCAATGAAAGCATGGTACAAAAAATGTACAGTAAACAGAATTCGTATTCCAAATCTCAACAGTGTCAAAGATGGGGCAACATCCGCCACGAAGTGTTTTGATCCGCCCCATCCAGTGTCAAATCATGATGTGTTACAACAAACAGAATGTAAATCAATTATCATGTATTCTTTTCGGACCAGAATGTGTTCTTACAGGTAGAAATGTGTGAATGTAGAAATACATTGGGGGGGGGGGATAAAAAAAAATTCCTCAGGAATACCAAATACTTAATTCATGTAACAATTAATAACGATACTCTTAGACAAGGAATTTTTGAAAATAACCTTGATATCGTGACCTACTTGGCAAGACTTGTTTTATGGGAAGTCAATAAGTCGCGATGTACACTTATGAATGATGAAACCAATAATAAATTAATCAATAACAACTGCTTCCCTAATTAATGTCGAGCTTTCTTATAGTATCTCAATTTTTTATGCAGCAGGGCTCAGCTTACTTGATATAGCTATCATCTGCTGCTAGTTATGTGACCACAGATCTGCAGCTCATTACATGTATTTGGCCATGGATTGCAGGTCAATTTTAGACCGTGGCAATATTTTCTTTAAATACAATACCTGTGTTACACATTCACCTGAATTTTTTTTCCTTTCACGGATGTTTTTAAACTCTTCATCATGAAAAGAAACAAACCATCACATATTTTATGTTGACAACGATGATTTCATGGACTAGAGTCATCCATTCGTTACTTTGTTACAGATCCAAATAATGTTGATGTTTGCAGGTACAAGTAAACTGTGTAAAGTTCTTATTTTCAATAATGTAAAGTGACGTAATATTTAGGGGGTAGTATAAATCATCATTTGCAGTACTGTCTTCTGTCTTTCCCTAAATTTCCAATTTCCAATGAGTACGTGACTAATTGTATTAGTCAAGTAATTATTGGCAATGGAAAATTAATAATTAGTGAAAGGCAATACAAGCAGGATTTTGTTGTAATCAGGTTAGCTTTTTTTTTTTTTTTTTTTTTTTTTTTTTTTTTCATATTTTTCCCTCTCTTTGCAGCTCAGTTTCATGGTTTCCAAAGCTCATCAGTCCGCCACCCGTCTTTCAATCCAACCAAGCGTAACGTGACGTATCACGTGGGAGAAACGGCGCTATTACAGTGCTCGGTGGAGAATCTTGGAACCAAAGAGGTACGTCTTATGGTGCGGTCTGTCAATAAACGGTCTCCAGAAAGTTTTTTGTAAAGGATTATGCAGCATTTAAATTCCCCTGGCCAGTATAACAACCTTCATTGAATTCAATGTCCTTCGGTTGTATGCTGAGCAGGGGAATTCATATTAATGGATAGCAATGTTGAGGAATTAGCAAGAAAGCTGGAATTTATCGAAAATTTGTTATAATGTGTATATAAATGTCAAACTTTGTTATGCAAATTAATCTTAGATTATATATTGTTGCAAGAATGCAACATGGCCACTTTGGCATCTGGGTGTAGTTTTTATGGTTTTGCATACAGAAAGAATAGCAATAGATGTGTAAATCTTTATCAGATGAGAGATATCAAAGACGTACATGTGCAATGTTTTATGGTCTATTTAAAAACGCATTGGGAGCAAACTTTATGGCATAAATATTTCACTAGTATCTAACAGGCTGCAAACGAATGACGTCATGTAAATTTCAAGAATGATGAAAAATAAGTTTTCATTGCATAGGCGTCGGAAGCAAATTGAAATTGGGGTGGCTAATTGAAAGGGGGCTAAACCAACGGAAAAAAGGTAAGTCCCAGTTTTCAATGCCTATATTTTGTCTATCTTTGAAGAAAAGGGGGGCTAAGCCCTCCCCCCTTTCGGTTTCGACACCTATGCATTGGGAATGAAAATATATTTCTTAATAGAAGGATAGTTATGCATCCTCATCCAGCAAGAAATTGGAGGTATTATTGGATCATATTGTAGCTGGGATTTTTGTACACCCTTAGGGAGAACAATCGATTTCTTAAATCTTACTGAAAGAAGTGAATGCTTTCCCTTCAGTTTACTTCTCTCATGCAACACATGTTTCAGAGAAAACAGAAATCAATTCAACCTGTCACATAAAACAATAAAATCCCTAAGAAGCCAATGGAATGATCTATCTGTTTTTAATAAGCTTTATCAAATCTGTTTCACACTTCATTGATTTCCGATAGTGATGAATGTGTTACGGTAGTTTCAGTGAGTTACTCGTTCTTTCTAGGGAAATAATGAAGACACTTGGTTCTTAAGTACATATTTATCATTCTTCTTTATATAGACTTTTCTTCGCTCGATTGTGTTAACTTTGTTCTCAATCCTTTGGATCCAAAGTACGATTATTCGGTCTCAAATGAAAAATCTTTAGACATAGCACCAATCTTTACACATAGAGCACCAATCTTTATACATAGAGCACCAATTTTACCGCTCCAATCGTTCTCGCCTACTCTATAAAAGATTATTGTATGATACAAAAAAGGTCTGTATTTGATCAATCTTTACCAAAGTATCCTTCTATTTTGTGCTTAAAATCAATTAAAATCTTCTCATTCACAACATATATTTGTGTAATTATTATTTAAGCAAAATGTTTTTGTCGGATTGAAATTAAAACATACCTTTATAGGATACAATGAATTTCTAAGGTCATAACACACCTCTTTTCTCAACTTAAGGTATAGAATGATAACTACATCGCTGTAAATTTAATTTTACCCAAAGGACCAAAGTCCATTATATTATGCGTATCCTTGTCCTTATTCTTTTTTTCCGAATTCAGTTGTACGAAAGAATTGATTAATTAACTATGGCGGTAATATTTTGTTTTCTTTTTGCAAATTTTTTGTAAGGTAATTTTGATGTGAATACAAGAACAGAAAGCGATAAATCAAAGATGTAAAACAACAGGTTGTAAATTACGTAAAAAAAAAAAAAGAATGCAGGAAAATGCCCTGGATGCATGTGAACATAGTTTCTGGCAATACTAGACAGTGATAATATTGTGTGACATGTTAATATTGGTTGGAGGTGCAGATTCAATTTCCCCCCCCAAATAATTCCCCCGTTTGTAAAGTGTGGTCACAATAGGGGGTTTTACATGGAAATATTAGTATAGAGGGAAAAAATTTTTAAAGAACAGCTAGATTACGATTAGTGATATCAATTTGCACGAAAGCATCCTCAGGTAGTGCAGGTTCACTTCTGATCATATCAATATCCTGTGAGTAGAACGATGCACAAGTAGCAGGAAGCAGGGTCACACTAAATCATATGAACATGCAAACATTTCCACGTTAAGTGGACTCATTTTTTTCCCAACTTACGGACCCCAGCTAAGGGGGCGGGGATTTAATCAGGATAGAATTTTACGTAATGGCTTATGCAAGTATACAGAAAACCATATTTTTAAAAAAATATTGTTTTCAAACAGCAATGACATATGAATCATATTAATATTGTAGCATCCATAACGTCCTTTGGACTCAAATTTTGTTACATTATGTCATGGCCCCTTGGGACCATACCTGGGGTAATGGTAATGTGTAATGGTCATGCATTGTAATCATTACATTTTTTCAAAGCAATGGGATGTAATGTGTAGGGCAGGGACGATATATCGAGATATCGATAATATCGATTCAATGTGAGGATGATACGCATATCGATAAGTATGAAGAAATATCGAAATATCGCAAAAAAAATCTTGTGTTTTTCTCCGTTTTCTTAACATTTTGGGTTTAATATATAAAATAGATATGCTAAATATAAATATGAAATACATAATAACTAATACCACTTGGGTAAAATGATTTTGTTTTACAACAGATATACAACTTCTTTGAATAAATTATTCTTATTTGTGAAGAAATGTTTCGTTCATTTCACTACAAAAAACATTTTATAACCAATTCAACATATCTTGATACATATCGTATCGTGGCTCAAATATCATGATACGTATCGATATAGAAAAGGCTGTATCGTCCCAGCCCTAGTAATGTGTAATGGTACCATCTTTCAATTACAAGTAATTGTAATGTAATGCATTACTTTCTTTAAAATGTCAGTAATGGCCATTACATTTAAATTACATTTCAATTACATTATAAATCTTATTCTCTTTGTTATTGAATCTGAGAGAAATCAAGGTCAATCTGTAGGTTAGTTTTTATTAATTATGTTGCATTCTTAAAATTAAAATCTTACCTTACCCCTTGGGGGGTATTCAATGGTGATTGATAGACATACTACATAATTGTTTTAATAGTTATAAAATAAATTGAACAGAGCCAGAAAAAAAATATTAAAGGAAATGAAATTGATAAATGAATGTGAAATACCAACTACCAATCTGACTTACAGACATTAGAGAAAGCATATCGACCAAACAGGAAGTGCGAGAAGTAAATTAAGAAAAAGATTGCGTGGTCATAAAAATTGTGGTTTTTTTTTTTAATAAATTGTAATATGTAATGTAATTTATTACTTTAACAAAGTAATTGTAATTTAATTAATTACTTTTCTGAATGAGAGTAATGGTAATGGTAATTGTAATGGTAAAAATTCCAAAGTAATTGTAATTTAATGCATTACATTTCAAAGTAATGGACCCCAGGTCTGCTGGGCTAGGTTGGGGCCCGAATATGGTGTCAAAGTTTATCACGGGAACAAAGAGGAAAGTAATCTTTTAAAAATCTTCCTCTGAAGAACAGCAGGACCAAGGTAACTCAGGTGAACCTTGTGCTCCCTTGGCATTTTTTCAGTTCTGCAACTGTCATTGGCAAGATAGCAATTCAATATTCACAATATATAATGACTAAAATAATTTAATTGTAAAATCAGCATAAGATATACTTTATCACTTATGGCTATTTCTAACACACCTCTTAGTACAAGCACAAAGTATTACTAGTAACTATGTTGGTGTTGTTGTTTTTTTATTAAACGCGGTGTACAATGCGTAAACATGTAAACTAATGTCTGCCCCTTGAAAGAATGCCGGCCCGATTGAGTCTACTAGGCATTTAATCGCGAACAAACGAATACAGGGTCTTTCGTCTAAGTAAATTTAAAAGTGCATAAATAGTTGAATATGCTACCAGACTTGAAGAGTTTCCTACCCCAGTATTACCCTGTGATTACAGTTCAAAAGTTAAAATAAAATATTAAAGTTTTCTTAGACAGACAGAAGAAAAGAAAGAAAAGAAAGGACAGAAGCAATGCTCCTGATCATCGGCGATATGAAATACATGTTCAAAGCTATTTTAACAAAGTTGTGTTTGGAATATTATTAGTTCTGCGTGCGTCAAATGCTAGTATTCCTTTTTCCACATTTTCAAAGTAAATTTAAATGTTTCATTACAAACTGTGCTGTCCTTGAAATGTATTTTTTTTCTCTCTCTTCACAGGTGATCTGGAAAAATAGAAACCAAAAGCATGTGATTACAGTGGGGACATTTGTGTATATTGGGAGTGGAGCATACAGCGTTAGTCATCCTGCCAACAGTCCCCACTACGACCTCGTTATCAAAAACGTACAGCGATATCACGCGGGAGTTTTCGAATGTCAAGTTAGCACGCGGGAAGATATGAGCATTGAAGTTACGCTGAATGTCATTGGTAAGTTGTTTAGGTTAGTCAAAAGGATCAATAGTACAAAATGTGGTATTTTGAATATATTTATATTTTTTCGTCTAAAACTTAAACCCTTGAAATACTAGTATTATAAAGTAGGTTTTCATCCTAAATAATTCCTCTCCAGAAAACTGACTCTAGGATTTTTCCAACGAAAAAACCGGCTGTAAAGTAGAAATTCACCTATTTCTAGGGGTGTTTGTGTGTGTTTGATGGTGTGTGTGTATGGGTGTGTGTGGGGATGGGTGTGTGTAAAGCAGACCATCAAGCATAACAAATCATTCAGTCAATCAAAAGATTAAAAAATCATACTGAATAGCAATAAAAATATGTTTTTTATGTATTTACTTCAGGACAGCTTTTTGATTAAGAGTTATTGCATTTGGTGCTTAATGTCAATATGTATCTTACAGATCCTCTAAACCAAACGTTTAATAAATAGTTGTATCTGATCCAATATTGCTTGGATCTGCAGCTGCACGAACTCCCTCCCCCATACCATCTCCACCGATATTAAAAGGGTATATAACCTTGAAGCCCCCAGTGGCTATTGTCTCAAATTCTTCAGAAAAAAAAACTCTTAAGACAGGGGTGTGCAATTACAAAAATTAGTTACTAGCTCGTCGGGCTAGTGGCAGTAACAAAGTTACTAGCCCGAGGTTGCCAGTCACTAGCCCATTAACTACCGAAAACAATACATGTATAAGTATAACAAAAAGGTTAATAAAAAAACCATTTAAGTTGAAATAAATTAAACAAATATATATAATGGTTTGCGCTTTGTTATTGTCAGGTATTTCTCCCTATTTTTATCGACTATAATTATTATGTCACTGAAACGACTGGCGATAGCAACACACAAAACATATAGGTTAAAACGAATTAAAGATTATGATTTTACAACAAGGTTAATTCGTACATCAATTCAGTCGACGTAAATATACGTATACTTTCGTTTTAGATTTACTAGCCCGACGGGCTAACGCAGTATAGATTTATGATAGCCCGATCTCTAGAATTGGTAGCCCCGGGCGTCGGGCGATGGTAATTGCACACCCCTTCTTAAGATGAACCCACATCCTTCAAAAGATATGTTAACTTTTCACTGCTAGTAATATAAATTAACAATTTAGCATTATGGAGGGGGAATCCCAGTCTGGTTGTTTATACAGTGGGGAAATATTGTCTCCTCTGTAGGATTTCACCCAGGGAAAAGTCTGCTCCAAAGCAATTTTTCCTCTTGGGAGGGGGGAGGGGATCCCGCCCAAGAGAAGGATCCTACTTTGTGGGAAACCTTTATAACACCTTAAATCAGTACATACCTTATTTGCATATTTCAAGCATTTACTTTGATGATAATGATTATAAGTATAATGTTGAGGACGATGATTGCTATCATTTATTGGGCCGAAATTGTTTTCAGATCCACCTGTGAAGCCAACCTACTCATGTGAGTTTGAAATTAATTATTTTCAACGATTCGGCATTTTGTAATTTATAAAAGAAATTTTTTTCAATTTTGCTTATTTTGCTCCGAGTCTGCTTATTTATGTTTGCTTTCTCTTTATTCGCTTGTCATTTTCAATATGTGTTTTTATACTCTTTATGTATTTATCTAATATTTTCTCCTTGCTTACAGCTTCATCAAGAGCATCCAAACCAGGTACTTAATTAAAGACATTAATTCAATTTCATTAAATATATTAAAAACTCACATTTAAACTTCACTGAGAAACCACTACTAGTATATCACAACGAAGATTGATATATTTGAGCCTTAAAAAGTTAAAACGCATATAAAAAGTAATTAATTTCCCATTATTACTTAAAAAATCAAGAGATGAAGAATAAACTTGATAATATTTGTCAGAGACAGAGCCTTTGGTTACATGTATATCTTTAATTTGCATTTGTGTGAGTGCATACACATTCTCTCTCTCTCTCTTTCTCTCCCACCCCCAAACACACTGACACAGACACACACACGGAGGCACACAATAATTTCAGGTTTAGATTATCCTGACATAAAACAGGAAATTATGAAATAACGTACATATATCTCATTTAAGACATACTCAGTTTTTCGAATCGACAAGCACAAAATTGTATGATATCAGACAAGGACATATTGCTTGTAATTTGACAGTAAAACAATGTATTGCACATTTGGCTTTGAAGGCAAAGATATTAATATTTTGTGGTTTGCCAATAATGTTTTCAAATAACTTCTTATATAGTCACTTCTATATGTACAACTTACAGCTAAAGCAAATGTTGGTCCTACTGTAGTCATTGCATCACCCAATGAAATTAACCATTTTGGGGGGGGGGGGGGCTATATTTTTCTGTGGGCAAGATTTACTAGTCAACGTTGTTCTCCTTTCGTTTTTGAGTCGTGATTAATCAAATAAATCTTGACAGTTTTAAAGACAGGGCGATTTTTTTTTATTTTGGTTCTATAGTTATTGTTTGTTTGTTTGTTTGTTGTTTTTTTTTTGCTAGCTAGTAGCTTCATTATCTCCTGTTGAATTGTTGTCAAACCATGCCTAATTTTTTGCATGTTTTAAAATTGTGAATAAGACAATTGAATAATTGTATAGTGAATTTGAATGCTAATTGAAGAAGATGGGCGAAACAAGGCGAGCAAAATGCCTATTGTGAGGCAAATATGCCTAAATTATTTTATATTATATATATATATATATATATATATATATATATATATATATATATATATATATGTATATATATGTATATATATATATATATATATATATATATATATATATATATATATATATATATTATATTCCATTTAACGTTACAGTATACTTGATGTAAAATCTTCACAAATCACAACAATCTATCAAATATTGAAATTTTTCGTCTATGAAATAGCATACTTACACCAAAGAGAGCAAAAATGATCAATTCTTCATACTACAGCACAATTTTTCCATGTGAGTGGGTCTTTTCTCCATGTTTTTGAAAGATTATATTCAAAGTATGCGTAAAAATATCTTACATCTTAAAAATACACTTTCATGACACAACATTCGTATCTTTCAGAGAAATATTTAATTGAAGTCCATTTAGTCAAGGGTCATATTACAAACATGATATGTTATGAGCGATATAGCATAGTGGTTAGCAAGTTTGTCTCAACGGAAAAATTGATACTTAGGATTTTTATTGCGTGGGTTCGAACCCCAAGAATATCACATATATTACTTCTTTTTTTTAAATCATGAAATGATTTTTGCCGGAAGCATTTTCCACAGAAAAGTTTTATTTCTTTTCTTTCAATGATAAGAACTTTACTTAAAATACTAAATTCACAAATTGAATATTGCTTTTATTTAAAGCTATAGGCATTTTGTAAGCCTCGTTCCCCCATCTCCTTAGCATGGACTACAAATTTTTCTCCTGATATGTTTCAGTAATTGAGTAATGTATTAAATTGTCTGCAAACAACTAGCAGATTCAAATGAACATTTCCCAGTAGGGGTCATACCATTATTATGTGCTTGGTTTAGTTTTTTTTTTGTCTGTTCACGACTAATCCTTTAAAATAACCATGGAGTTACCACTAGTACTAGTACATGTACAGAACATATTGATTTTGAGTCGAAGTGAAAGATTCTTCTGAGGTCAAGGTCAATGTGGAAGGAAAATGGTTAAATGAATGCCACATCTATTCTAAAAACACTTTTTGTTGTACACACACCTTGAAGTCTCTTTTCTAAGAAGGCGTATTGAATGCAGTTTTATGTAATATTTCAGCCATGACTCTTTCCGGAACCGAGTTTGTAGACCAAGGCGACCCCATTAAACTTTCCTGCAACGCCACGGGTGTTAAACACGCACCGGAAGACGTCGACTGGTTTTTTGACGGACTCAAAATTCAAAGCAGTGTTGAAGAGGAAATTGTTATCACAAAATTTCACAGTCCAGAAACAAGGACTCTGATTAGTACTTTAGAAATTGAACGCAGTAAAATGAAACATTCAGGAATCTACATCTGTAGAAGTACTGATGGAATAATTAAAAGTCACACTGTGCAAGTAATTAATGGTATGTATTAAGTTAAGTTTATTTAATACTCATGTTTTATATTTGAGAACTACTGGTACTTTTGAGTACTGCATTTGATCTTATAGACTTGTTGATAAATTGCACCCTCCTTCATCCTTCGTGTTTCCAGTTTAGTTCACTGTTAAATCACATATTTTCATGGGGTCAGATTTTCGTGGTTGAGGAAAAATATTGTTTAGCAGGTATTTGATTTCATGGTAAAGGTGTTGTTATGTATACGAAATTTTACATTTCGTGGAGGACATGAATTCTTGGATCTCCTCATACCACGAAATTAACGAAAATTAGTGATTAGACAGTATTTGTTTCTGGCTGCCTGTGTATTTAATTTGCGCAGATTTTATATTATTTGCACAAAAGAATATGATTTTTATAAGCAGCATTTTCTAATGTTTCTCTTTGTATAAATGCAAATATGTGGCACATTGATATATTTTAGAGAAATTCGGAGGCGTACTCCGAAACTTGACATGCACACGCACATTTTTCTAAATCTGAATTCCTAAAAACGTCAAATGCTGGAAAAGTTTTATTTATTGAACAAAAATACATGCACATTATTCGGTATAGCTCAGCTTTCTGCAATTTTTTTACTTAAATAACCACAGAAGGAGATAAATTGCAATCACCCGTAACCTAATCGAGTATTAAGTTCTTTTTACATACACTTTTGCGTTTACGTTTTTGTTCAAATAACATTCTATAAATGTAATGTTTACAATAGTACGTTGATTGGCAGGTATTATTTACTTAGCAAGTCATCGTGATTATTCAGAAATTTCTTTTTCAGCAACGAGTAAAAATAGGATAAGAGCAGTGGTAGCTACAGGAGGTAAATAATGATTCAAATGTTAACATCATGTTTTTAAAACTATTAAAATATAACTCTTTTTATTTTGGAATTTAAAGACTAAAGTATTCAAGAACAGTTGCACCCGATTGTCAGATAGGGGAATGTCAAAATTTATGTACACGGGTTTGAGCTTAGTCATGAAAAATGTACATACAGCATATATGATTTGTAAACCTGCTATTTGATTAGCTTCAGTGCTTAATAGAAAAAAAAATCTGTAAAAAGAGGATTCATTTCGTGTTCCTTCTACATAAGGAATAGAACCAAGTTGCCTTCAAGTTGGTGTTGTAGTAAACCAATTTGCAAAATATTTGTATTGTATTTTCTGATAGGTTGTATTTTTGTCAAATGAAAATTTATTATATATAGGAAAGGACTGTTTGGTTTAAATTTAGTAGCAAAATCCCTGTCTGATTCTCAGGTGAAATTGTACTGAATATTTAATCGACGTGTTTGCTTGTAATTTTTTTCTTTTGTTTGTAGGTAAAAGTGATGATAGGAGGGATCGACATGTTGCAGAACAAACTGACAACAAGTGTTCATTATTAACAATGTATTTACCTACTTTTGTGTTACTTTCGACATTATCCTCAATATATATCTATCTACCAAGGTGAATCGTGCAGATTAGCCCGCGAAGAAAATGTTTCCTACCCAGGTCTTTCAGGAATGAAAAGACCCCATTTTGAATCTACATCGAGACTGACGATAGTGAAAACGAGACAGACTTCTTTTTGGTGGTTTTTATCGTACATAAAAGTTCGATAGAAAACACTGTTTCAGATCAAACTTAGGACAGGACAAGTGATTGAGGAATATTTGTAGCGAATGTGACCTCTAGGATGCAGAACTATGGACAGCACCAGACTGAGCGAGGGCTCTGGCAGATTGTGATATTAAAATAAAACATGAATTTTATTCCATTTCAGTCGTGTGCAATATTTCATTGTTCATTTTTTGTCATTCATTTTACAAGTTCTTATTGAAATCATTACATTGTACATTTTTATAAAAGAGAAAAAAATCATTCCATATGTGCATATAACAGTCTTTAATTGTTGTGTTACATAGCATTATCTTAACACACTGTGAAAAAATGGCTATTAGACTGGTTGTCATCCCTGTCATTCGTAATATTTATATGCTTTTAATTTATTGCATTTATGTCAGTGAAGCAATGCTACATGTATATAGAGGGGTTAGTAGAAATTACTACACTCAACAATGTATTTCCCAGTAGAATCAAGATATACCGGGGTATCTGATTTCAATGAAAGGCGTTTTTTAACATGATTTTTATCATTTTTAATTATTTATGTTTAAATAATACGACTGTTCACAAGTCAACTATCATTAATACCCATCTTTCTTTGTCAAAATACTTTAAGTGACTTCTGTTTACTGAAATATTGCATCAAAATGTGTCATTGAATATTTATTATTACTCTTGCAACACACTTCTTGATTCTGTTATTTGTTGTACAGAGTGTGCATTAGTTTTAAGTTAACAAAGAAATTAATATGTAGATGTGATCATGTGGTGAAGTCAAAAAATAAAGTTATATAAAAAATTAAATCGCTGGTCTTTCTTTCCCCTGAGAAATGTTATGTAAAGATTAGACACACGATTTTTTCCCTGGGAAATGTTATACAGTGAAACCTGTCTAATGTCACATGCAAAGGGAAACAGATTTTCTGTTGGAATAGATAGGGTGTCAGATTAGTGTGGAATCATCATTGTTCGCGGGGGTCAATGTTCAAGGGTGACGTAAATTTAACTTGTTCGTGGGGACGTAGTTTCGTGGGTAACCTACATATTTTATAAAGATAAATAACTCCACTCTGCTAAATATATGTCTTTAAATGTTCGTGGGTATGTAAATTCGTGAGTAAGGGATATTCACGAAATCCAGGGTCTTTGATTTACCTATGAACAATGATGATTCCACAGTATAAAGAACATGGAAATTGGTAACATGGGAATGAAAATAAAAATCGGAATTCACAGTGAATCGGTTTGCACAGGTGTTGGATAGATTAGAATAGCTAGTCTTTAACCCAGGGGAATTGTTATGTTTATAAAGATTAGAATCACCGGTCTTTTTTTCCCTGAGAAACGTTATGTTAAGAATGCTGTAAACACTGCTCACTGAAGAGTTTCAGTTTTATGGTAGTTTTGTGCAGTTAGAGTGATCTGCTCTTTTGAACAGAAATCTGCAGTAATTGACACAAATTGAAATAGACTTAAGTATTCTTAACATTATATTAGACCAAGATATAGTCATTGATAACCGTTTTATGCCAGTATTTTCCCAAACTAAATGACAGTGATTCTGTTCACTAACGCTTCTTTAAACATTTTTCCTAGAGAAATATGGCTGGGACCCTGTATCGAAAATGAAGTAGATAACCTCAATATATGCACCTTAAGATGATTAAATTTTCCAAAAGTCCAAAAACATTTTTCCATTAGTCTTCAGAGCTTGCTTAAGATTAGAATCGCTGGTCTTTTCCGTGGGAAAAGTTATGTAAAGATAAGAATCGATGGTCTTTTATCTCCGGGAAATGTTATGTAAAGATTAGAATCGCTCGTCTTTTTCCCTGGGAAATGTTATGCAAATAAAAAAATTGCTGGCCTTTTCCCCTGAGAATTGCAATGTAAAGATAAGAATCACTGGTCTTTTTCCCTGGGAAGTGTTATTTAAACATTACAATCATTGATCTTTTTCCTCTGGGAAATGTACAATCACTGATCTTTTTCCTCTGGGAAATGTCATGTACATATTACAATCACTGGTCCTTTTCCCTGGGAAATGTTATGTAAAGATTACAATCACTGATCTTTTCCACTGGGAGATGTTATGTAATAGTGTAAATGTTATGTTATAGTGTCAACCAATTTATCTGTAAAAAAGACTGCAAAATTTATTGGACATATATATATATAGGGGTCAGACTTAATTCTTTAAAACGAAATAAAAAAATGCAAAAATGAAAATCATTGATAGGCGTTACGTTTATTTCTGCAAAGAATTAATTGAAAACTGACAAAACTTCAAAATTCTGTAAGAAACGAATGGTTTGTTTATTGTTCTTTGAAAGGTACCTAGCATAGTTACGGAAGCACATTTAGGACCTATTAAAAATAGGTCCTAAATTGGCTTCCGTACATAGTAAGTATGCACTCTCTTTTTGGCTATCTTTTAGAAATCCCAAATGGTTATTAATATAATGGAATAGAAGACAAAGATATAGCCCATAAAAACGAAAATAACCCAAAATAACAACCTTTCAGAAAACGCAATTTTCCCGGATGTCAATCATTATGACAGGAGAAATAAACAAAACTTGCAGCTTCCTCAGAGTCAGACTAGGGGTTTTTATCGTTCTTGATAATATATGTAAATAAGACTTGCCCAATTTTGACAAGAGGGAAATGTTACTAAATGTTCTATCATACAGCATACCAAATGGATAAAGACCGAAAACTAAACTGATTATATCACTCATCAATGTCAAAATCGGAAATGTGCGTGTTGTATTTGGTTTTAGATGTTAATTGTTTAGAGGTACTTCCAGAGTTTCATGCTCAGTTTTTGTTCGATAAGAAAACTTTAACAATTTGGTCTTTTTCTTTCCCTTAATTGAAAGCACTATTTTGTTACTTTTCATTGAGTCCCGTGAGCTTTAACATTACTCTGTGTTAATTTTAAAGTGAATTGATTTTTTTTCTCTATTATTTTCATGTGTTATTTTATCAGCATCTAAAGGCAAACAACGACCGTTAAGTAGTGGAGCGTTGGTTTGATCTTACATCCCCTCAATCAATAATTCATAGTAATTATGCCTTTTCTATGATTTATTGAAAATTGGTTTCATTGAGACTCAATACTACTATAACGCCGGTTTGAATGAAATACAGTTGAACTTTGGTATCTCGAACACCGATATCTCGAATACCATGGATATGTCAAAGTGATTTTGAGGGCCCAACCCCCTATTCTTTAAGTATTTTATCCTGGAAATCTCGAATCCTCGGATATCTCGAAGTTTTTTCTCGGTCCCATTGAGTTCGAGATAACGAGGTTTGACGGAAATGAACTTCGAATGATGTCTGATAAAATGAAATGAGGACTTGCTCAAGTTAAAGAATCATACCTTTGCCATAGAAATTTATATTTTCAAAAAGAATAACATTGAATAGTTTATGTATTGTCGTTTCAACAAGTATAGAATTTTTGATGTTTGAATTGTCGTTTTTTTTCATAAACATACAAACCTGTAAACTCAACAATTTGAAACAAGACAAAGAACTACCTGATTATAGCGATATTCACTGTCTTGAATAGAGAGACTGAAATTTAAACCTACAAAAATATAAATTAATGAACATGTATCACTGAAAGTCTCTCTCCGAGAGCAAGATAGAAAAAAGTATTATGGTTTAGACACATTTTTAAAATATTTTGAAATTAGTGTTTTTAAACTTTGATTTTCATATGATAAAAATTAACTAAAATATGGAGGTGTCTTCATTCTGGAGGCTTTGAAATCCATGCTGAAAAAAAAATCACATTCAAAGAAGCATAAGATAGAAAAAAGTATTATGGTTTAGACACATTTTTAAAATATTTTGAAATTAGTGTTTTTAAACTTTGATTTTCATATGATAAAAATTAACTAAAATATGGAGGTGTCTTCATTCTGGAGGCTTTGAAATCCATGCTGAAAAAAAAATCACATTCAAAGAAGCATATAATGTCATATTGCTCCTGGACAAAAACTTTTGAGAAGACACGAAAAATGCAGAAAAAACTTAATTAAAACGAAATTGAAGCCTAAACCGGTGCGGGCACACAACAAAGGATAATACACAATGGGACACGCGTAACCTCAGCAGACAGTTTTTAATTAAGTTTACTCTTCTAAGATCGTAATATTAAGCAAATTACATGCTCTTATTTTCCCTTTTGATTTAACTGCAATAAACTTTCGGCATAAAAGATGTTCTATAATTATTCACCTCCTTGAAGCAATAATGTGATTTTTAAGTATCTTTAATATGTACTTGCAAAAATACTGAAGTGCAAGATGAAAAGCTTTTTCTATGAAGACATCTAACATTTTAGTCAGGTTAAGAAAATAAACCGATATTTGTATCATGTTAATTCGAGGAGCTCAGATGGTCGTTTTATTGAGGATTTGGGAAAAACTGGTTAAGCTTCTATCAGCGTGTTTATATATATATCCAAAGGTGTCAAAAATATGTAATGAAATAATAAACGTTTAACCCAATAACAAGGATGAAGGAACAGTAGAAAAATACCGAGATTGTATTGCTTACGCTATCAGAAGTTCGTATTGAAAACTGGAGGAAAAAAATTCAAGTTGCCAAGTTTATTAATTGACACTGTGTACATTGCATAATTATATCGTTAATTTGATTATTCTGATATTTCCGAACGAATTATATATATATATATATATATATATATATATATATATATATATATATATATATATATATATATATATATATATATATATATATGTATGTATGTATGTATGTATGTATGTATGTATATATATATGTATATATATATACAGAGAGAGAGAGAGAGAATAGGAAAAAAATACACGAATTGGGATGGGCGCTATGGGGACCGTTCAGATTTCTATTACAGCTAGAATTCAATATCTTTTCAAAATTAAAAAAAAATATGTCCACAGAAATAATTTTGACGAAGGTGAAAATCCTAAATCTGGGTCATGTTTAGATTATTTTCAGAATCTGATACTATCTCAGAAGTGACTTAAGATGGCACAGCTGCGTTTGAGAACTGTCAAAGCATTGTTACTTTGCATGTCATCTCATAGAAGCAGATGCAAAAAAAAGCATGAGACAAAGAGATTTAGATGCTTTAATATTCCCAAGTACTTCAAAAAGCATTTCCTTGTACGTACTAACTGAATCTAGCCGAATATTAAATACGTACCTCTCTAATACACAAACAGTTGGCACAGCCATATCGCTTCATACATGTGCGTCCTCCTAATCCTAATCTCTATTTCAAAGGTTTATATAGATGGAATTAGATATTATGCTTTGCTATTTTCTATCAAGCTCTCAAGTGCTAGGCAAAGAAGGATATATATATATATATATATATATATATATATATATATATATATATATATATATATATATATATTGTGTGTGTGTGTGAGGGTGTGTGTGTGTGTGTGTGTGTGTGTGTTGTCAAATCGGACGATTTTTAGTAACCGGTTACTCGCTTACTTTTCCGATCGAGTAACCGATTACTCGGATTTTTTTTCTTTAGACCTCAAAACATCCTTTATCGCGGTATATATAACTAGTGCTAATTGTAACGGGAACCGTTACAGATGTTCCCCAAACGGCCCCCCAAATCCCTTATGATGCCCCATTTTCTACAAGCTTCAATAAATTAGACAATACTTTTGTAATATAGATGGACACTTTATTTTTAAGGGTATTTCATTGGAAAACTACTCCGATATAGCCATATGGGTATTAGCCAATCAAATTTCAGCGCA